CATTTCAAGTGCCCAGTAGCCATATGTTGGAAAGTGCAGCTCTAGAGTATACGAAGACGTGGTATAACCACGCAATAGAATTCACCGTGGCTCCGCTATAGTCTAATGTAACCTGAGCTATCTAGAGCCTAGGGAACCTTGACAGATTTTGTAGATAGTTGAGAGTTTATCTCATTCAGTATCAAATTGTCCTAATTTTAATAGTCTTTCATAGCAGCTTTTTAATGTGTTTAAAATGTGTTAACATTTTCCTCTGCCTTCCTAATCAGAGTATAACATAATAGCTAAGAGTGTGTGATCCAAAACCATAATCTGGGTTTGAATCTGGGGTTAACATTTACCATCAGGGTGATTTCGGATGAATTACTTCAGCCCCATGTACTCCAGTTTTCTTGTGTGTAAAATGAGGATTAAAACTTCCTAATAGGGTAGTTATGAAAATAAAATGAGAAAACATACGGCAAGTGCTCAGTAAATGTTCATTTCTGTTGCTACTAAATACTATAACTATAGCCATCCACTGTTACAACCCAAACTAGTAACAGTTCAGCAACAGTATCGTAATTTAGGCCTTTTCCTGATGATTCAAGTAATTGTGCTGTGCTGTGGTACATTGAGGCCCTCGTGGGCTCCTGAAAGTATACAGGGACATTTGGCCTTACATTATAAGTTTCCTGATAACTTTGCAATTTGAATTCTTCATACTTCCCTTTTTTGTCATGCCAGGAAGGCCCTTCTCCAGGTGTCTGCTACGACAGACTTCTGACTGCATACAAACCTTTATGCACTGAAAATCACTGAATTCCATGTTCTCAACCTGGTGATATATTTAAGTGATAGATGAAGGTTTGGGGGGAGTTGTTACAAATAATCTGTTCATTGAACCAGTCAGAAAGATTGCCCATTATCAGCATTTCCCAAATGCCAGAGTCACCACACTGCTAGGTAATGAATTGGCAGACATGAACACACTGGAGTGCCCGCTGTGTTAGGCTCCATGCCAGATACTTTAAGTGTATTATTTTATTTCTTATAACAGCTTTGTAAGTCATAAGTAGTAGCAGTAGAGAAACTGAGGATCAGGAAATTAAGTAACTGCCCAGGAGCATATATATATATATAGCAAGTGGCAGACCCAGGATTTGAACCTAGATCTGACTCCATTTCCCTTGATCTTAATTACCATGCTATACAAAGCAACGAGACTCTTTTCTCATGGTGATAGCACTAGGGACATTATAGCTGTTTGAGATTTTCCTCCCTCCCTCCCTTCCTTTCATCCATCTTTTCTTAACAATCACAGATTCAGCCAGCAATCATTTACATGTTGTCTACACCATCCCAGGCACTGTGCTGGGCACTGGGGATACAAACGATCATAAAATGAAGCTTATGGCGTCAGGATTCAGGCAAATGGATGATACAGACACCAAATTACAGTTTCAGCTTCATTGTCATTGAGACTTGCTATAATAGTGGATATTCAGAATGCTGTGGGGTAATAGAGAAGGACTTTTCTAATTTGAAGGAAGATGGAGGCCTGGTTTGAGTACAGGTGAGAGGGCTTTTAGGGAAGGCTTTCCACTAGAATGGATGCTTGAGTTAAATCTCAAAAGATGACTGGACGGACTAGGAACAGGGAGCATCTGGGCTGAGAGGCCTGCATGAAGAGTGATGGGAGCTGCCATTATGACCTGATCAGGTACTACAAGCACTTGGTGTGACTGACGTAAGATGTGTCTCCTGGAATGGGAGCAGATTGGGTTGGAAAGCAAGGCAGAGAGAGTATAATGAAAGGGTTTGTGGAAACCCTTTTGTTTCCATTATAAAGGAAGGGAAAGGTTTTAAGCAGAGGGGTGAGAGTAGCACAGTTGTGTTTCTGAAAGATCCCTCTGGAAGCGAGGCTGAGAGTGAAAGTTTACAGGGTGAATTTGTAGTAGACTTCATGAGTTTCTGAATTTTAGAATTCTGCCAACTGAATTTATTTGAAGAATTTCTGTAGTTCAGAACAATATGAAAGAGGGCACTTCCCAAAAATGCCAGAAATGATGGAATTAGCAAAGAAGGATGTTAAAACAGCTATTATAAACATGCTCTATATGTTCAAGATGATAGAGGGAAACATTAACATGAAGAGAAAAGAAGTAAGTTTTTTAAAAACCCAAATGGACTTCTAGAGATGAAAAACATAGTATCTGAAATGAAAACTACACTAGATGAGATTAACAGCATATTAGATACTGCAAAAGAAAAAAATCAATGAACTTGAAGACATAGCAATAGAAACTATCCATAAAGAAGCTCAGAAAAATACAAAGGTCCTGCTTCCACTTAGAAATTAGTGGGTATTTTCTCCCTAGGACTTTTTTCCAGAAAATTTAGACTTAACTATTTCTGTGTAAGGTTGCTGTAGCTTGACAAATATGATATTATTTATTAGTTTTTACTTTGCATTTATGGGGGTTTTGTTTTGGATAAAAGGAAATCTTCACAGTCTTAAAAATCTTTTCTCTGACTTCAAAGAGATGAACTTCTGAGCTGCAACCCTCAGGAGCTTTCTTTCTCTTGCTAATGCCTGACACACGCTTAATATTGATTCTGTCATCAGAATAAACAGCAAGGCCCAAGTAATGAGAGTTCTGGACATTTCAGAATCATGCACTCATTTATTTTTCATTAAAAAAAACAATAAGCATTCATCTGTCTGGACATCATACTTAAGTGTGTTTTGCATTTTCCGAAATAAGAGTGAATTTTTATGAGTATGTAAATTGAACATGTCAGACCACATTTGGTAGAAATCTGGGATGCTTCCTGGAATGCTCCTGAATTTTCATATATGAATTAAGTACCATTTATTTATGGACTACACGCTTCTGTCTCTTCATAAAAGCCATACTGGTCTTTGAACATAAAATGAATGTTGGTCAGCAATTCAGTGAAATAATTTTTTCTGATGAAAAATTTTAGCCTTACTTGATAAAATGTGAATAAGTGGAATTCAGTTAATTGTATACATTAAAGATATAAAGATATACATATATATATACATATACATATATATCTCCATCCATCCCTCATCCCCCAAAAGGATCTCTTTTTGGCAACAGGCTCCATTTTGCATCCATTCATTATTCAAACTCCCAGTTCTCTCAGAAACAACGTGGTCCCCTAGGGGACTGCTGCTTCCATGCCCACCCAACTCTAAAATTAAGCCTCTTCCTGTGGATCCAATTGTCCTTTACTTGTTCTTAGCCTTTTGATCAGCTCTCCTTCTCTGGGTGTGACTCACAAACAGGACCTTCAGGTTTCTTTGTCTTGAGCCATCTATCACGCTTCTGTTAGATTGTTAATTCTGCAATTAGAAGCTAACGACCAGTGGAAGAAATCTTGGCAAAACAAGAATTCTTCATGCGACGCACTATGCAATGAATTAAGTCATTGAATCCTTACAAGACTCGGTAGTAGGTATGGTTATTTTCTCTGTAATTCCAGAACTTGATAGAGAAAATGACCACATTTAAGAATCGGGATGTGAGTGAGGCAGGCAACCCTCAGAGCCTCTACAACCGGTGATTCTCTCGAGGGGTGAGAAATTCCCCACCCTTCTTTGTATGATTCCGTATTTCTAAATTATCACTAATAAGCAGTATTACCCTTATCAAAAAATGAATTAAGAGGGCCAGCCGAGTGGCTCAGTTGGTTAAGAGATCGCTCAAGAGTGCGAGCTCTGAGCAACAGCGGTTCGAGTCCCGCCCAAGCTGAGCAGCCGCTGAGCTGCCAAAAGGTGGCAGGATGGCTCAGCTAAAAATAAATAAATAAATATTTTATAAAGAGAAATGAAACTGACACTACTCACCACGGAACATTTGAAAAGCAAAGAATTTAGGGAAAAAGTGCTCATGGCTTAAATGTAAATATTGGGTTGTCGGAAAAGTCATGACACATTTTTGCAACGAAAAACGGAAAAAATATGTCATGACTTTTCCGACAACCCAATATAACCTTTGTAAAATTTTTGGTGCCTTTCCTTTTAGTCTTCTTTTTTTTTTAAAGATTTTATTGGGGACTCGGGGGAGGGGAACAGACAAATTGCTGTCCTTTTGTTCTTCAGTCTAGTTGTGGAGGACGTCGCTNTTGCAAAAATGTGTCATGACTTTTCTGACAACCCAATAGTTGAGGGGGCCGCAGCCCACCATCCCATGTGGGAGTCGAACCAGCGTCCTTGTTGTTAAGAGCACGTGCTCTAACCAACTGAGCCACCCGGCTGCCCAGGGAATTTTTTGTTTTTTTAAAGAAATGATGATTTATGGAAGTTTGCTGATGAGTGCAGGAGTTCCAGAGGGGAGTGGGAGGCTCAGGAGGGAGGAGGGGTAGCTATGTGGGAGGGATTGGGGATAAACAGAGCAGAGTGGATGGCGGTTGGGGCAGTAATGGAAGACCAGGGACCCTGGGACTTCAGTGCAGATGACTGAAGGAAACAGGGGTACTGCATGGTAGAATTTGCTCCCCGTAGTCACTGAGAAGGCAAGCTACAGGTTGAAACGCCTCCTCAGAGAGCTTGGCAGCTTCCCATGCTGCTTTTCCCAAGGTCTCAAGGAGTGAGACAGCAGTTTTCAGGAAGGGCAGCTGATGATGCCAAGGTCTAATGTGACTTTTCCAAGGTCACACTGAATAAGTAGCAAAGCAAATCTCCTGACACTAAACATCAGGTCTACTACCACTTTAATTTGTTTGTTTTAATTGTAGTGCTCATTTACCTTACTGCTGGCAGAACTGGATCCATTAGGCCATTAGAAAATGAAAATTAAAGGGAAAAAAACCTTAAAACTAGACAGTGTTTCCACTTTGGGACCATTCCAGCTCATATGCAGGTCTGTGCCAAAAGGATGAGAAACGGCTGCGCTGCACGCAGGCCCTGGAGAGCAGTCATTGTGGCCCTGTAGGGTCTGCGTGTCCGTGACTGTGCTTCACCCTCATGCGTTGTTCTCTGTCCCCAGGGTCATGTAGGCACAACAGCAACCAAGAAGATCGACGTCTACCTCCCCCTGCACTCGAGCCAGGACAGACTGCTGCCAATGACCGTGGTGACGATGGCCAGCGCCAGGGTGCAGGACCTGATTGGGCTCATCTGCTGGCAGTACACAAGCGAAGGACGGGAGCCGAAACTCAAGTAATCCTTCCTCTCTCTGGCTGTCCCCTGGCCCCCATGCTGCCTCTGGGCCCAGGCGGCCTCTCTAGGCGATGGCCAGGGAACCAGGCATCCGTACGGACCCAGGGCAGGTTGCTTGCCAGGTCCTGGGCCCGTGTATCTCAGGCTGATCTCTGAGAATCTGCTTGTAAATAGACCTGATAGGTTTGTGAATCCAGGCAAGAGGAAATGCATTTTAGCAGTTTTCAAACCCGTTCATGGTGCTTGCTGATAGATAAATGTGGCATGGGAGTTAGTGGGAGAGAACTAATGTTTGTTGAGCACCTCCCATGAGCGGGAAGTCATGCTGGGCATTTCCTACCTGATTTCTCGTTGAATTCTCCCAGCTCCTTTTGGGGGGGGAATATTATCCTTAATCTGCATTGGAGGGGAATCCCGCTTACAACAATGGTACTTTGTTGAAGGCAACACCGGGGGAACCCGTAGAGCCAGGATTTGACTCCTGGCCTGTTCAATACCAAGGTTTTTGCATTATTTCCTTTCATCTGAATCAGTTTTCTTTGTTATCAGTCAGTAGCTCGAATTTCCTTTCAATCACTAGGCTCTGTTCCTCATTTAACAATTATTGTAAAAATATAGTGCTTGAAAGTAGAGTCTCTGTGCTAGTACATCCTACCTTGAACCTAAAAGTACTTGGCTGCATCGGTTGTCTCACACTTAAATTTCTTATCTGGCAGCAGCCTCTTCTAGTTTTCGTGCTCTTCCCGGCGGTCGTGTTTGAGAATCAGCAAAATGTAGTGGATGCCTTTATTCTGGACATGTGTTCTCACGCAGACTTTCTCTTCTCACATTGTCAGGGTCAGAATGGTCCAGTCTGTTGTTTTGTTTTTCTTTAGATGCGTTAAATTTGCACATACAGTTATTCCTTCAAGTGCTCATTGACGTTGCCCTTCACTTTGCCTGAATAAATTGTGGATATAACGACAATGTTTCTTGCTCCTGTGGCAATAGAAAACCTTTTTTACCAAGATACCACCTAGGCCCAGAAAAGGGCTGAGTCAGCACCTCTGCTCAAGGCTGAACTATGACTATCCCTTTTCAACAGGAAGTAGAAGGAAGAAAACAGGGATGGGAGTCCAAGTGCCAGTGACTTTATATATGTTGTCTGAGTTAATCCTTAAAATACTGCTTAGCACAGGGACTGAAGCCTGGGTCAGAGGTAAAAGAACTTGCCCAGGGTTACACAGCTAGTCACAGAGACAGGAGTGAAACTGGGATGAACACTTTACAGATGAGGAAACGAAAGCTTGGAGAGGCTAAGTAACTTTCCTGAATCACACGGTAAGTGGTAGAACTGGTACTTAAACCCAGGAACTCCAACTCCAGAGCCTTAGCTCTTCACTAATGATTATACTCCCTCCCATGGAGCACCAGGTACTATGAAAATACTTCTTGAGGCCATACTTATCACAGGCCCTGTGCTAGATCTGGAAGTACAGAAGTGAAAAAGGCAGTTCATGCCATGGAGGAACTCACTGTCTGAGGTACATAGGCAATAATAATGCAGTACATTAGCAAGTAAAACCAGGTTCTGTGAGAAGACCTGACCCCATATCCGGTGGGGAGAGTGGAGTCATGAAACGCAACCTTGCTTAAGGGACATCTACACTGAAACCTGAAGAAGTAAGACAATGTGATGGACACGGGCTGAGGGGAGGGTTTTCTAAACAGAGGGAAAAGCGTGGACTTCTGGTTGTGAAGGCTGTTTAAATTCATGCTTTAAATTCTATATTATCCAAATAAATTCTATATTCTACAGTAATGATAAATAGAATATATTATTGACATACTTGTACTTTAATAACAAGATAAAATATCCTTGCGGATGGAAAATAGAGCCGAGTATAGATGTAGGCAGAGTGTGCGAAGAGCCAGTTCTTTTAGTGATCATGCTGTGAACAAGTTGAGTGGTGTGTAAAATACTGACTTTCTCCGCGCTCAGGGGCAGCTAGGCAGGGCTTGGGCGGTCAGAGCCCCCAGCCAATATTTCTGGGTAGGAACAGTCTCACCCCTCTACCTGGGTGCCATCCACATACTGTTGTTTTCTAAGTATACCACAATGTCAGAAAGGAGTGGGAAGCACTGCTTAAGAATGTGGGGACCAGAGGAACTTCATGCCTGGATGGGGGGACCAAAGGAATTCTCACTGCTGGGAACTAGGAGCTCGGGTGGGCCTGTCCTACCTGTTAAAAGAAACAGCAAAGCTGCCTTGGGCTGTGACTTGTCTATAGAGTTCTGTTTCTGGGATGGCAGGGGAATGGAGAGCGCAGTACAACCAGGACCTGGCCGTGAAGGGACTGGGTTTATGCTAGCTANTGTTCCAGTCTACAGATCGCCTGAGTTTTACCCACAGGTCCCCGTTGTGAAGGGAAAATCGGCGGTGTTTTTTAAGCACAGCGTAAGCTTTTCTAACCAAGGTGGCGACAGTCCCTCTCTCCTGGCCATCTCCTGGGAACAATAGTGATCCCTTTGGCACCCCCTGCTGTTAGTAACCAGCAAATTCAGTATCCAAAGGAGGTTGCTTTAGGGGACTTTTCCACCTGTCTCTTTAAAACATATTGCCTTTGTTTCAGATTTTTACTGAAAATAGAATTATGCTACCTGTGATATATGAATATTTTGGGTCTTTCTACTCTTGAGCAAAGAATGAATACCTGAGTGCCTGCAAGTGATCTGGGGGTGATTCCTCAGGCTTTTCTAATTGCCATTTCACTCCTACTATGAAGTCATGTTTGGTGTATATATAACAGCAAATATTTTTCTTCTTTTTACATTTACATTTTTCATTTACATTTCAGTACTGAAACAACAACTTTAAAGAATATTTAAAGAAATTTAAAAGCTATCCAACGATTCCTCCATCCTAATACAACTAATTTTCATTTTTGTATAATCATTTCCATATGTATATACATTACACAGTTTCAGGTCTGGCGTACATATTATGTTATTTTTACTTAACATTATATTACAACTATTTCAATACCTGTTAGTAATTCCTGTAATTCAGTATGTGCCAAGGATCCAGACAGAGACAACCCCGATGCTCATGGAGCTTGTACTCTAGTGGGGAGACAGTTGTCAAACAAATCATTAAAATGTGATGAGCAACATGACAGAAAAATGTACGCGTGCATTGGGTGCCTGTCACAAGATGTTTAGCTGGCCTCCTGTGTTGGTTTTAATAGTGAGTCTATCAGAGTCCTTATGCATATCCCTTTTATTTTTGTTAAATAGCTTCCTTAGGATAATTTTTTTGTCAGTAGGGTTACTGGTCAGAGTAGAAGCATCTTTAGACTCTCATTTTGTATTGGCATGTTGCCTTCTGAAAGATGAAGCAATTTACAGTGCCACCAGTAGAATTCATAGAGCTGTCTCTTCAGCCGTCACAAGGTGTCATTAGAAGATTTCCCTTTTTACTTTAAAAGGTGTGTACAGTGGTATTCAATAGTTTCCACTTGCATTTTTATTATTTGTTAGTGAGTATGTAAAAGAATTATTCTTGTTACATAATTTTTACTACATAAATGTTTACCTCACATGATCATAGCAGTCTTTTAAACTGAAAGTCCTTTTTAAAACAATAGCTTTTTAATCACAGATTTTCAATAGAGTGGGATTGGGGGGTGGCGTGGACATACCTTCCAGGGAGAAGTGTCTCCCTCTTCGAGGGAGTGGTAAGAGGGGGAGGGGGAGGCAGAGTAACAACTGCTTTAAACTAAATACTCTTTTCTTTTTTTTTTCTTTTCTGAATTACTTCCATCCCTGCGCTCCCACTCCCAAACACACATATGCCAGTCAATCCTTTTTCTATTTTAAAGTTCAAGAGGGTTTATACGACATGTCTGGAGTGTTTCTGAAAACACGAGGTAAAGTAAAATCTTTACATGTGAAGTGTCAATAAATACTCTGTTTCTCCTTTTTCTCAGTTGTCTGATAAAATCGGACAGATTGCTGACCATTTGCCCTGTGTGTGTTTTCTTATTTCAGCAACCTCCCGTTCACCTTTCTGGTCTCTATTATAAATTAGAAAAGCCTCCCCTGCAACTGCAGGACAGAGCAGACCTTCAGGACTCTCCAGGGGTGTGTCCAAAGTTTCAGAGAGTGAAGCCCCCGCAAAATAAGTGAAGCCATCGCTCCTTCTCGCCGTTTCCTCCCTTTCCTCCTTGCCTCTTTCTCCCAGTGGAGAATGGGCAGGAAGTGGCTAGAAGATATTGAACTCAACCAGGAAGAGGGAGCAAGGTTTGACAGTGGGAAGTGAATCAGTATTCACTAAGGACCAATTATGTATACGTCATTTCGTTTAACCTGAAAAACTGCCCAGTTTTTATTATGACCATTTTAGAGACATGAATACTGAGGCTGATAAGTATCGCTCTCAGACCTGCAATTATGTATATGTCATTTCATTTAGCCTGAAAAACAGCCCATTTTTTTATTACGACCCGTTTTAGAGACATGAATACTGAGGCTGAGAAGTATCGCTCTCAGGCCTGGATTTCATAGTCCAGGCTCTTCCCAACCTTGCTGAGGGTTGGGATGGGGGTAGGAGAATATAGTGTGGGTCTAGTCTTTCAAGTAAATCTCACTGTTTTAAGGCCGACATTCAGCCACCGCTAGAGTGTAACAGGTAAAAGCACGGTGGCGTATGGAACCAGGCTGCTTGGGTGCCGATCCTGACCTTACCCTTGTGTGTGTGACCGTGGATGAATTACTTCACTTTTCTATGGATCAGTTAAATAAGGGTAATGATAATACCTATCTCACAGAGCTGTTGTGAGGGCTGAATGAGCTAACAGATACCAAGTACTTAGAACGGGCCTGGCCTGTGTAAGCATTGTCCAAGTGTTTGCTGCAGTTATTATTATTGTGAGTAAAATTTTTTTGCGGGGAAGAACTGGATAATCTGTGCCCCGCACACCTAGATTAGCTCCATTTACTATATAGCAGGTATGCCACAT